AACACAGAAGCGATAATAATAAGTTTGCTCCGTTGATTTGATACCAGAGAGTATCCTCCTAGGGGTCACTGAGCTCTCTGAGAAGACACACCCCAGCAAAGACCTCCCCGCGCGAATGATGGATAACTCGGCTGTGATATGCCCTCACCTTATCACGCACTTCTCCAAACTGGTGGGCGAGGCTGCAGCCTCGTGGATCGGAAAATTTGTTCTCCGGATTTCACCGGTCTCCATGTCACGTGATACACTCTATTTTAAAGTTTCCCCCTTTTCAAAATTTTTTGGCCTCATCCATCTGGTTAATTTTCTGTCGATCTCTCACTCTCGCCTTCAAAATACATTCTTTGTTCATGCACGAAGGCGTCAACTGTATGAGTAGAGTATCAGAATGTTTCCATCCACGTCCAATGACGACATGACGCGAGTCATCACATCAAAGGTTGTCAAGCGAACACTTTCCACTGGACTGCACCCTTGGAATAAGGCTTCGACCCTTTTTCGCGATCGGCAAGTCGGAAATGTGGATTGATTGATTGTGCTCCAGTATCCAGAGCGTTACTGGTCGTTCTGGAGCCACAGGCTCGGAATGTCACTCGGGGCCCCATTTGGATCCCAGCCTGGTGTTTGATCTTGTTTCGTCTCCTTTCCCTTTTGGGCATCCCGAAACACCTCCTTCCTCTGTGCCACCCTCAACGCGCCCACAGCTCCCACCACTGCCACCGCTGCCTCCAGCCTTTTCCGTGAGAGGCGCCTTTCCTCTATCCACCGTTCTGATTCAAACTCTCGCATGTCTTTGTCCACGTTTCAGTCCCGTACCCTGTGCTGGCCGTTGAGAAACTTTCCTTCTCCCACATTCCCGTTCTCCATCTTGCCAAAGTGTTCTTGGAGGAACTGACTCTTTCTTCTGTTCATATGGCATGAGCCTTCCTCTAGAGCGCACATCCAATTTCCCCTCCGTCGATGGCCTCACGCTAACCTTCTTCGCCCGATGATCTCTCAATTTACCAGGTACTGGCCCCATGCTATCCTGGGATAGTGCCGTTACGGAAAAGGAGCTTGCGACGACCACCCTTTGTACCGTACCAGCTGCACCTCATCGATCTTACCTTCGCTTCTCGCCGTCTTCTTTCGCGACGAGACTGCAGACGACCCTCAGTCCATCCTGCCTACCATTCAATACAAGGCAGGATGTTCCGACACGGGCAAGCCCTTCACAGACGAGAGCCTCAGAACTCAGATGCGCTCAGTACCCTGCCTTCTATCATACCGAATCCCACGTCGGGTCTTCCGCCGTCAATAGGTCTTGATCCGAGTTCTGTCACTCCAAATCCAGCCGTCACAGCTCCCATTGTGACGGCTGAGGCAGTATCTGGACTCACCACCATCACCGAGACACAAACCCTACAGCAGAGCCTTACCGGTCAAGGCATCGAAACCACCTTTACCACCGAACGAACCAGGACTATCACCAACACAGCCGAGTATGCCTCTCTCACTTCAGCGGCTGCGGCTGCAGCCTCCTCGACAGTTTCGCGGTCCTCTTCGACAACGACTGCCGCTGCCACGAGCAGTGCTGCTGCCCAAAAGTCTAGTTCCAACCTCGGTACTCTGATCCCGGCAATTGTTGTCCCGATAGTGGTGGTATTGTTGGCGTCGTTGGGTGTATTTTGGTTTTTCATGAGACGGAGGCATCGGAGGGACCTACATATTGAACCAGAGTTTGTGATGACGGGCAAGGGCGAGAAGTTGAGTAGCCGTTCAAGCAGCAGGTCAACCACATCTATTCCCAAGACACTCGAGAAAAAGTCTCCGGCGGTCGCTCAGAAAGAACTCCCGTCTTCAACCTCACCACCGACTCCTATGTCTGAATGGCCGTCAGCGCAGATTGGTGTCGCTCGGCCGCTGACCCCGCAAGAATCGAACTCTGCTGGAAAGGATCGACTTTTTGACCAACCGAGATCTCTGACAGCAAACTCTCCCTATAGAAATATGCGGAGTCCGGTCACATCAGGGCGGCCATCGACATCTGGACGAGGAGCCCAGCCACCTTCAAGCCGGGACCAAGGGTCGAGTAGGAGCAGAAGTAACAGCACGCCGGGCCAGCGAGGTCAACCACCAACCTCACGGTCAGGCTCTAGTCCAATCCCTAGGACAGGCCCGAGCCCAGTCTTGCGAAGCGGACCAAGTCCCGTACCTCATCGGCTAAACCCTGCCGAATCTCCACGACCAGGACCACCGTCAGCTTTCCGCTTGCGTGACCCTTCTCCCACCATGAACTTGAGCAACCGAGCACAGGCACCATCGCGGCTTGAGGCTCCGCCGCCGGGCGCTTTCAACGGTGCCTCATCCATATCACAATACTCGCCTATTGTGAAAGATACGCCCGTGATTGCGAAAACGCCCACCAACAAACGACCACCGCCACCCATCAAGACTGCCAATCTTGGAGTAAAAGGACTCAAGTCACCCTCTTCACCTCCTGGCCATGGCTTGACAGAGGAAAATCTCCGTATCGCGCGATTGGCTAACTCGTCTCGCCTGGGTCGTACTCCTGGAGACCTCACTCCATCACCCAAGTTGCCTCCCCCAGCTACTCGTTCACAATTGATACCTCGAGAAAGTCCAAAGGAGCAACAAGATCGCTTCTTTGGTGGGAGTGTGAACAATCTAGCGATACATCATCCTCAGAGAGCATCGGTTCATTACGAAGGTTCTCGAGCCAGCATAGTGTCGGATGCTGACGACTATGAGGATATCGAGGCCAAATCGGATGTCAGTAGTCTCAATGAGTTTGAACGCTTCGACTTTGGCACCGATGTAAATGGTGGCAGGGGAAGTGCTGGTGGAGGCTCCCTGACATTCTTTGCGGCCCAAAACAGTCCGGCAAGTGACAGAGGAAGCGCCTTTGGCAACGCTGGAACTCACGAGCGTTGGTGATGAATATTGAGCTGCAAGAAACTCAAGATTGCTGATCGACACTCGGTTTTGCTGTCTCGCATTTATTTTGTCCCTTTTTACTAGTCATCTCATGACATTGACGATCGTTTGTGTACTGCATGTTGTCCCGTGTTTTTTTTTTTTTATTTACCCCTGCATTTTGTTCATGCTCGCTGTCAAAAAGCAAGGAAAATTTTATGCTTTGTGAGAAAGAGCATGCGAATGATACCCCATATCAGACCAGCTTCGACGGCGAACTGGGAATCGAATTGTGAGAATAGCTATTGCATATCTGGAGACATGGAATCGAGGAAGGCGTCCCGAACAAGATAATTTATTCGATAAATAAAAGTCCTGAAAGAAGAAGACGCGAGGAGACGAGAGAAGACGAAATGGACGAGGGGAGACTGGAGGAGAGAGGACTGAAGCTCATGGAGCTGAAACTCGGGCGAGAAGCAAGGAAGCAAGGAAGGGAGACCAGTGTGAGACGGCCTCGATATATATAATTCAGTTGCCGAGTTCTTAGTCTGCGTCGCCGCTGCTTCTAGAATGAGGGCAGGACGAGAGAGACAGATCTCAATCCATTTTTTATATCATGCCATAACATAAAACTGGTTCCGGAAATGCAAAGTAAAAGTCTCGTGTGGTTGGTTGGTTCGCAATCATGGATATCAACGTCTTTTACCTGACCAGGTCCAGGTCCAGGTCCAGATTCAGGTCGACGCATATTCATTCATGTTCATAATCTCCATTTCCAGTAGGTGATGTAGATTGGGTGGATCATGTACTCGTATGTATGTGTGTGTATGTACCTGGCAGGCACCAGCTGGAAAACCGAACCTGCCGAGTCCTTCTGTGCCCATTGTGATTAAGGAGACTGACTGCCCTCTCAATCCGCCGCGCCAGGCTCATTCAACCCCAATGAGTCGCCACTCGTCCAGTTGACGTCCAGGAACAGGTACGAGATCTTCCACTCGGCGAGTCCCTGCTCTTCCTGCCCCTGGCCCTGTTCTTGGCCATGCTCAGCCCTCTGAAAACTCCAGTAGTAGTACCCGCCTTCCTGGAAGACCTTGCCGATGTCGTCGCTGTCGGTGCCGCAGACGGCGTGAAGCGCGGAGCGGGCGTGCGCTGTGTTGTCGGATGTGAAGGAGATGGTGAGGTTGGAGGACGAGTGCTAGGCATGAGGGCGGCCTTGTTAGAACTGGTCGAGGGACTTCACACAGGTGGGAAACCGCGTGTTCGACTAGATGTGTAACAAAATGAAGAAAGATGTGCCGCACTCGACTCACCAGCATCCGATGGAACCTCGTCTCCGCGTTCATCGCCCACTGGGCTAGTCCGTCCTTACCCTTGTGGCTGCCAAACGGATAGGCGACGTCGCAATCGTCCGTGAACAGGTCGGCCCACCTGTGTGCGGCGTCATGGTCGACCATGCACGCATCAAGGACATAGGCGTACTCGTTGAGGAGGTTGGTTATTTGCTGGTGTTCGTACAGATATCTCACCCTGTCCTCGATTGTATGCGGGCTCGCCAGCGGCGAAATGCTTTTCGGGGCATGGCTCTTGATCCCATTTTTCGAGCCGTTAGTATGCGCCGCTGGCTCTGAGTAGGAGTAGCATAGCGGATGGTCCACTGCCAGTAATGCTGCCCTGGGAGACATTCTTTGATCGTCGCCTATATCTTTCTGTGTCTTCTGGCCAAGATTCACGATCCTAAAACATCGTGTCGTTCAAGAATGAGATATCTTTTGGAGTCGATGTGCACAGCTAGATTGTCTTGATTGGCTGCAGCGAGACCTGCCTCGATGGCTGCGAGGGATCATAGACGAACGTTGGCGCGGGGTCTTGCATTAAACTTGCTTGCACACTTGGGGCTTCCCCATATTGCGGAGTGAGCTGCTCCACGCATTCCAGTTGGTGGAAGCAATAGACTTCCCAGCCAGTCCAGAGATTGTGCAAACGGATTCCCCACCGGCAAAAGGTGCCATGGGGTCTCTTCCGGTCTGGAACCCCAGGAAAAATGACAGGTGGTTGCAGTACGCCAGACTGCACCTCGAATGCTGCTATCCTGCCTCGGGAGATCCATAGAAATAAAACCCTTCACCTTCAGGACTCCAGTGCGCGTTGGCATGATTACCTGGGAGGTCATCCTGTGGTGGGGCATCCGAAAAGGCCATCTCGAAATTGAAACGGGGAATATCAAATGTTGGAACGTCGAATCCCGGGACAAAATTCAATATTCGATCCGGTGACTCCAGGTCGGGAACAGCGAAGCCAGCATGGATGTCGGTCGACGTACTTGGTGTGTCGCTTGAGACATACCCGGTGGCTACCTTTTTCAATAGCCGATGGATCTTCTCAGACGCCACACGAGCAAATGGTAAAGCTTCCTGGTGTCTGGTGAAAAATACCGCAGCGGACTCGATGTTGTCATTGATCTTGCTCCGATCCGGTATCGTGGCCGCGAGAAGATCATGAGTGGATTCGCTCCTCACGTACAGCAGAAGCGTAAGAGTCGCATTCCAGAGGTAACCCATGGTATGAAACAGGGCTGCTTGGAGGGTACCAGAGCTTCCGGCGTTGATGGAAGTGGTCGTAACGTTGATCAGCGACATGGCCATTTCGATGCACTTCGCCGCTGCCACGACTGATTCATCACTCACTTTCATCTGCTTCTCTCGTTTCTGTACAACCAGGTTGAGGAATGCCCGGTATAGGAGGATTCTGAGATTCAGGTAGCCTAACACAACCACAATGAGATTCAATAACACCAGGCCTGAGCTGGGGGAAGTCAAGTACATACGCAGTCGGATAACCAGGCCATGCGGTTCCTTGGACCATGTGGAATCATGGTACCAGCTGTCATACCAAGCGCAGATGGCACCATCAGCTGCACGAAGAGCCGCTGCGCGTTCACTGACTCCAGAGTGTTTGAAAGCGAGCGAGTAGACTTGTTCATATGCGTCCCATGCTAAATAAGAAAACTGTCGCATCCGCTCCAAATATTGGAGATCAATAGGCGAGGTGTCCAAGGGAAACGGTCTTACGTCAACCTCTCGTGGTTGGATACCACAAGGACGGCCAGATAGTGTGGCGAGTTCCCTGCTGAAAGATCAGCAAAGCTAGAGCCTTAAAGAGATGGCGAACAAACGTTTCATATATGAAAAGGCACCTATTCCCGCCTTAGTGCAAATCTCAGGCAGGCCGAAGTACAACGTCAAACTCACCACCAGGTTGCGCACCATCCGTTAGTATCAAGAACGTGAGCGTCAAGTGGCATGAGCTCTCGGTGAAGACCGATGCTGTAACCGACTCTTACCGAAGTTCCCAGCATCGCATATGCTTCGTGGAGTCTCTGTTGATTAAAGAGCCAGACAAACTGGTCGTGGTCTTAGCATTCGATGAGCCCACAGCACCCGGAAATTACTCACGGCAAGAAACATGGAGTTTACTGCAGACATGTCACCACCAGAAAAAGGAACGTCGGCAAAGGTGGATTTAGCTAAATTGAAGCAAGTCTCCCCATGCTGTGAGGCAAGGGCATCGTTTCGGACTCGATCATCTGGGTCGACAGTGCTGCATTGATGACCGTGGGCTAGGACCATGTACAAGACGGCAGCCCAGAGCTCATACCCTTTTCCTTCTGTAGGTAGGCCTTCCCAAAAGTTTCGATAACGTTCCATGAAAGTGGTGCGGTTGAGGATGGGATATAGACGATGGGCTGTTTGAAAGTAGCGGTTCACATAGTCGTCTGCGACGGACCTTGGAGGCAGCGAAGACCCTACAACTTTCGCGAACCTCAGGTTTGCAGCATTCTCGAGCCACAAACTAGCTCTGTTTAGCGGTGACTCCATCCGAGAAGTAGACGGTTGGTCTTCCGATTCATCTGTTGCTTCCACGGCACTGATGATGGCGTTGGAGGAAGAGCCGCCGTAGAACTCGGGATTTCTTGAGATTGTCAGATAGTTTACACCTCGAAGCAGTTGGGCCATATCGTCTTCCCTCCGACTCGTTTCGGTCGCGGTCCCATATATCTGATCGGAATAGCGAGGAGGGCTCAGACCTGGCTCGTTGAGGCTCTGTCCGGTAGTGTAGCCCTCGTAGATACGTAAGCGTTCTTCAAGCTGCGCAATTCTCCTAAGACACGCAGACTACTGTCAGCTTGCAGAGTCGAATCAAGAGACAGAAACAGCTCACTTCATCGCTTTTGCCAGAGTGAGTTTCTCCGGGGCACGAGCGTCACCTCCATATTGGCAGGGGAGGGAGTTTTCTTGACAGGTTTTGCACGGGCTGGCTCCATTGCACTTTTTTGAACTACAGTCAATCCTCTTCCTTTGAACATCACAGATCTGGGGTAGGCACGTACTTTTCGGCGCAGCGCTCGGCAATTCGAACACGCCTGTTCAGTTTTGGTTCTTTTGACACTGGGTTGTGGGGGTGCCAGTGGTGTAGGGAGGCCCAGAGCCGACTCGTGTTCTCTTTTGCGGTCAGGGGCGATCTCTCTAAACTGCATCATGGCATCGTCGCGGACAGGTTGGTTGGACTCTGGCTGGACGGGGTTGGTGGGATGGTGAGTCGACGACGACATGGTGGTGGAAGTTGGTGTGGAGTGAGGAAGGATGAGCATCAAGTGTCGCCTGCGTCCAGTCCAGTCCAGTCCAGTCTAGCGTCATGCACCCCACAAAATGTCAAATGCCAAACATTCGTCTTCTTCCCTCACTTTCATCTCAGGTCATAGACATACCTTCCCATCCTTATGACATCTGCTCTCGCATGACCACGGAAACACGCACGGAAAGTGATCACCTCAGAAATCTACCCCGGACCGTGTCTGCGGCTCGTTCTGGATCTGGGAGGAGGTGATTGGCCACACAATCTACGGTCGTTCAGACAGAGGAAAATGGACGGCAAGCTCCTCTATCCTCCACTGAGGTGTCTAACAATAGTTTTTAGGTCCCCCTGTAGGAAGATACAAGTCTAAGGATGACGCTAAGTCCATGACTGTGCAGCTGGATGACTCAAGTATGTAACGCTTGGAGTCTGCACAGGCCGCTACTGTCCCTCAACTCTACCTCCTCGCCCTACGCAGCATCAATTGAAGTAACATCAACATGTTTGCTCTCCAAATGGCGCACATGCTCCGCCTTTTCTGCGAGGGCATCTGTCACAGCATGATCTTTCACGAAGACCGTGTCGATCTCCTCGAGGGTTAAACCACGAGTCTCGGGATACAGGAACCAGACTAAGTTTCTGTCAGCACATCCGTCCATGAGGGGAAAACGCTGACGGCTCTTACCGATGGGCAATTGAAGGAAGGTGAAGATTATGAATACGATGTATAATCGCCAGTGAATGTTGGCAATGCCAATCGGGCCCACCTTGACTGCAAACCTCAGTTAGCGATTGACATTTCGATGGGCAAGGCCAGGACTCACCGATGATAAAAGTAAAGGTCCCTAGGTCGAACAAGTGTCAGCATTGATAAGCCACGTGGCTGGCTCACTCACAGTTTGCAAAGGCGTTCAACGCATTCCCGATATGCCTGTACCTCACCGGGACAAGTTCAGGGCCAAGGCACCACGGACTGTTATACGTCAGCTGGTATCCGGAGTATCGACAAGTGCACACTCACGTCGGCAGCCAACTCCAACCGAAAGCCACGCAGATCAAGCACGTCGCTCCGAAAGCCACCCAGAGTTGTGCTGTTCCTCCATTCTTGACCATGGGCGTGTATATACAATACCCGATTAGGATTGGAATTGTTCCGGAAACAAGCAGCTTCTTCCGTCCAACGCGCTCGATAAGGGCAATGCCAAACAGTGAACCCACCCAGAAGCTGATAGACGCAACGCCGCCCAAGACCAGAGAAAGATTGGCAGATATCCCCAGTTGCAAGAAGACAGTGCTGGAATAATAGATGACAATATTGACCTAGGTGCACGTTTCAGCAATTTGCGGCCTGACTTTGAGAGGTGGTGTAACATACACCGGGCAGTTGTTGGATCATCTGAATGATGAAGACCAACGCCATCCGCTGAGGGATCTTCTGACCAGATCGATCATAGAAGATGGTTTTCAGACTGTATTCACCGAAGTGATCTTCCAAAGCAATTGCGGCGAGAATTTCACTGCGTTCAGCTTGAATCACTTCATGTTCGATCGGAAGACCCTTCAAGGCTGACATGACTATATCTGCCTCTTCATTTCGGTTCTTCGAATACAGCCATCGTGGGCTTTCTGGGAGCCAGAAGAGACCGAAAATGGTGGGAATGGCAAACGCGGCTTGGAAAGCTGCAAGAAAATATTCAGTATCACTCGACCGCAACGATAGAATTATCCATCATACCAACTGGAAAGCGCCACACCACCTGCCCAGTGAGGTGAAAGAAGCCATAATTCATCCAGTATGCAATCACAATGCCAAATGCTGCAATTGACAACTGAGTTGCGACCAACTGCCCTCGATGCTTGGCTTTGGACGTCTCGGAGACCCATGTTGGGACTGTTCCAGTGTTCATTCCATTCCCGATGCCAGAGACGATTCTCCCGACAATGAGTTGAGCCACACTGTATGACGAGGCCTGAAGGACAGCGCCTTGAACAAGAGTCAGTTCTGGTGTTTCCACTGTCGACCATTTTACTTGCCGATCACCATTATGATCATCCCAACTCCGATTGTACGCTTTCGACCGAGAGACGAACCCCAAATTGCAGCGACAAGACATCCGACCATGCACCCGACATCGTATATGGAAACAACGGTGGAGATGGTATCGGCATCGGTCGCCTTTGTAGGCTAGTCAGCACCATTTTCTGGGGAGATTCGGGGGAGAGGAAAGGAGATGCCTACCGAGATGCTAACGGCTTCGAGGAAATAAGGAGTAGAGATGATACTTCCCATGATGCCTTGGTCATAGCCTAGACAAAACCGGGGTCAGTGTTCTCCTGTGTTCTCAACGGTTGGTCCTACCAAACAAAAGAAAAGCGCTAGCGGAGCACAAGCTGATAGCCCACGAAAGGGCGGAGCCTTCGAGGCCCAGGAATGGTTTGCCGTGTCGAGACATGGTATCTGGGTGAGTTGAATCGTGTTGAACTTCGTGTCCTGCTTTGCCAGAGTCGGTGGACATGAGTCTCAGCATATTATATGCAATCCGACAGCATATTCCATATGGACTGTGGGATGGACTGTGGAGTTTCAAACCCGCCGAGGCACGTCGCGCAGGGAACGGACACGTCCATCCACGCATCCCCATTGGACACTCATTCTGCCTCCACGTATCCCTATTGGACGGGAACCTCAACCCCACAAGTTCTGCGGCCTCGTGGGGACGCCTGGGCATTAATGCGGAGTCGGTAGTTCCTCGAGGCAGACTGCTGCAGCTTCCCCGGACGCGTTCGATACCCTATTTAAGGGTGAAGCCTGGTCCTCGAGGGATACATCCAAAGCCAGCGCAAACCAGGAATGAGCTGCCCAATCGGACATCAGGGAAATTCATAGCATTTTCCCTCAGACCTTCGGAAGACTCCAGAAGTCTTTTGGTTTGAAGAGCCAGAACTCGTTCCGAAAGTTGTCCTTCGACCACAAACAATCGGATCATAAAAAGTATTGTTGGTACTACAGAGACTGACGTGCTGTCAATCGACACGAGATCCACGAGCCTCCCTGTACACACCACAGTGACCGCCGTCCACTCTCCCAATGGCCGATACAGAGAAGATACTCGCCGAACTGGCGTCGTTGCAGAAGACAGTGTCATCTCTCCAAAAGTCGCTGTCGGAGACACAAGACATCCAGGCGGTCCAATGGCTGCTCAACCACTACACGGCACTGCACGACGACGCGTGTTTCGACCTCGAGAAGCGACAGGAATGGGAGAACCTATTCTGCGAAGACGGCGTGGCAGTTTATCCCTACGGCCAACACGTCGGCCGCGCGGGCAAGGGGACATGGGCGTTTGGTGGCGTGAGCTACTTTGAGCGGTGCCAGCTCCTGTCGTCCAACTTTGACATTGAGTTCTCCCCGAACCGCCGCCGCGCGTACGTGCGCACCAACTGCATCGCGCAGTGGATGAAGAAGAGGGACGTCTACGACGACCACTTTGACGAGGGCGGCTTCTACAACTGGGTCCTCAGAAAGGACACCGACGGCCAGTGGAGGATCGAGCGCGTGCATCTGACCATCACCTGGACGACGGGCGAGGATCCCACGGGCGTAGGGCCCAAGACCAAGAGGCCCGCCAAGCTGTAGGGGTGGCAGGAAAGAGACTACATGTTTGGTTATTCAGTGAGGTGAATTACAAAGGGGAAGGGGGGAGGTGGAAGGTGGAAGAGAGGAATCTGTCTCGAGGTTTTTATACATATCTTTGTCTTTATCTTTGTCTTTATCCTCGCCCTCATGCGCTTAATAGAGGACTAGTCAATGCTGAAGACGAGATGATCTCAACACCAATGTCATTAAACCTGCTGAATTGCGCTTGTCTCATGTCGCACGTTTCATGTCCACACAAGCTTCCTGTGTATGTATGTATGTGGGTAGACGGGCCAAGGAATAAGCAAGAGACGCACAGAGTATAGTCTAGTAGAGTATAGAATACTATAGAGTATAGTATGTAGCACATAGTACATGGTATATAATTAGTATACCCGACATGACCCTTTCGAGATCTACATGTCCACGACCTACACAGGCAGACAGGATCGTGGGATAACTTGGTCGTACGAGGTGATGGAATACAGAATACAGAGTACAAATCAAGTCAAGTCAACCATGTGCACGGAAATCGAACCGCAGGCACTCGATATGGTGATGTGTTTTCCTTTGTTAGCTGTTGCCTTGTTGCCATGGTGTTTGTGTCTGTCTATCTATCTACCTAACCATCCGACCGACCATCTGAACCCCGTATCCGTGTCCAGCCATCCAAGACCATCTTGTCACAGATCGATTCATAGATTCCACCATCCCCCCAATCCAGCACCACCTATCCAACTCATCCCTCCCCCCTCCTCCCTCCTTCACTCCATCTCTCTCCGTCCAACAATCTGAAGTCTTGCCTTTGCCCTTTCTCCAAATGTTAATTTGTGTTTTGTGTTTTGAATTTTCATAAAAAAAGTGTTCATTCATCCATCCATCATTTCCGTCGTTAAGAAGATCAATTCGGGCAGAGAAAGATTTTTTTTTTTTCCTTCTTTTCTTTTTTCTTTTCGCTTGCATGCATGCTTGCTTGGTCGCTTGCTTGGTCGCTTCGCACCAACTAGAGCCGAGATGGGATGATGGTTTCATATCCCTCTCTCACAACTCTTACAACTCTCACTCTTCTCTTTTCACTCGTCACTTCCCGGACCAGCCGCCGCAGCACCGTGTCTGAACAGGTGGCGGTGTATGTCGCGGCGCCCGTGCCGAGTCAAGTGGCGCTTGGCGTGTGCCTCATTGAGGAAAGGCAGCATTTCCACGGACGAGGACAAGATGCCAGGCTCCGGACCTGCCTCGCGCCGGCTCTTCTTGTCCCCTTCCCAGCTCTGGAAGTCCTCGTAGCCTAGGGCGCTGACGGTCGTACATGTGACGGGGGCAGAGGCGGCGGGGGCGTTGTTCTTCTCGTTGTTGTCCGAAGACCCGGCCGGAGTGGTAGGGGTGGTGGCGGGTGGCGAGGCAGCGGATTCTTGAGCTTCGCTGACGGTGCCGTCCGACGAGACCACAGCGACAACTGGTGGTCCAACTGTCATGGAAGAGACTTGCCCGTCGAACGACGCCACAGACGACGCCGCCGCCCCTGACGCTGTAGTTGGCACAGCCACAAAGTTTGCCGCTGTGGCTTCATAAGTGCCGAACGTCTTGGTATGGCGGCCATTACCACCACGACTGAAACCCGTTGTAGGAGCTGAGTAGAAGCTCGTTTGGGTAGGGCCGACGGGCGGCGGTCCTGGCGGTGCACCAGGAATGCTGACAGAGGCAGTGGGCGCATGCGACGAGAACGATGGGAATGGCGCAGTGGCGTTGGGACCCTGGCTACCGCTGCCCTGGAAGACCTTGAGAGAGTTGACGGTCCAGAACGCATCTTGGAACGCCGATGGGTTGTTTTGGACGTAGCTCTCGCAGGTGGACGCTTTAGATTTGCACACGGGGTCAGAATCCCATACATTGCCAGCCCAGTCGCCGCAAAAGGTCGTGTCAAAGACGATCTGCTGGTTGTTGAAGAACTCGTCGATATTGCAGCTTCCGCCAAACGAAGCCAGAGGTTGCCCCCAGTTGCCCGGGTCGGGTGACCCCGAGGATATGTCTGAGGGGATGGCTGAGCGCGAAAAGAACCAGATGCTGATGGCAGACGAGGTCCATTCAGTGGCGTATACACCGCCTTCAGCATCGTTGAATCCTGTTCCGTAAGTGGCGTCGTTGGGAGTCGAGATTGAGCAGCCCGCATTGGTTGCTTGGCCCGCAGCCTTGATATCGCAGTTGGACGTGGCTACCGAGCCTGAAAACATGCCGTTGTTAGAGATGCTGCACCCAGCGTTGGTGTGTAGGGTCATAGCATTGGAAGTTTGCAAGTTGACACCCTCGATGATGTCGATTTCTCCTGCATTCGGCCAGTTGGGTCCGACAGTCCAAAAGGCAGGCCAAGCACCACAGATTCCACCTGGCATATGGGAAAGGTCGAGAATAATGAGACCGTGGTTGTAAGATTTTTTGCTTGTCAGGCGGACGCTTTGACGGCCGGAACCAGACGCAACATTTGTATGGTCAACACCCATATAGACGGCGCCGCTGTCGGTGTTTATGAGGCCGCCGCGCTGTGCAGTGTTCTGGTCCACATATTGCACATACCCATTCGTCGGATCCGGGTCCTGATAGTTTGGTCAGCACGCAATGTAGAGTAGCGAACAGGGGAGCCGAGCTCTACCGTGAAAAAATCAAACATGGAAAAGAATTGATCTACGCTGTAGTCATCCTCCAGCACATATCCCGCTGTGCTCAAGGAGATGAGTCCCGCCAGGGTGACCAGAACAGAAGCCAACATATTTGCTTAGATTTCAAAAAAAAAAAAAAGAAAAAGATCGACAGAAAGGAACGACAAACTGCAAGACGCAAGTTCAAATGAGAAAGGAGTGGACGCAAAAAAATGCTGGCTCTGGAAAAAGAAATGGAAGAATGACCTGTCCACGGGAATGAGTACGGACCAGGTCCAACGGTAAAATCGTCGAGATATGTATACCAAGAAGGGTCCATGGCTGTGTAGAGAAAGGGGTGAATCATGGTCCAGATCCATCCTCGGCGTCTGTGCAAAGGCGGGGCCAAACGAAGTATCCATCTGAGGAGGTAGGTACGTGTCCGGGCTTGTCATGTACGGCTGACGTGCAGAACAGCAATAGGCTTCACGGATTGGGCCCGTGAAGCCTGAAAGCGCTGTCGAGAAGTAAGGGGTAATCCATATACGCTCATGTGAACGTGGATCGGCGGGTCACCAAGTACCAAGCGAGGAAAGCCGAACTATAAATGACAATATCGCACACGACCCTCATCCTGCAAGATTTGAGATATTCCAGGCGGGCCCCAAAGGACAGCAGTGCCCTGTTCAATGCCTGTAGAGGAGCTGATTAAGGAGAGTAGAGGCTTCCTTCCTTCATCGAGCTGGCAGGCAGGTGAACATCCATCAACCTGGGAGAGGATGAGAGGATCGAGAATTGAGATGGCGGGAATGGGGCTTGAAACGATGGCGCCAGGCGAACTCGTCTCTTTGACTCCGCATGTTTGAAACTCGGTAGGGACGGATAAGCCTGATAACTTTAAAAAGGGCCAAAGGGCCATTAGGCCAAAGCGTTGGATCTGGGTGCCTTGGTCTTGGAAGTGGATTGTCACGGGGGCTGGTAAAAGGGAGAACTGAAGAAAGGCAAAAAGGGAGAAAGTCGAGAATCCCAGGGGCAGGTGAGGTTGAAGCTGCTGACCAATAAGAGTCCGGATCGAGCCATATCACGTGTCAGGCTGGACCCAATCGGGCCACTTCGAAACATTCCTTGTCTCAGCGCCCGACGCCGCGCCCAGAAAGGCTCCACCATACCAAGAGCCGTCGATACCAAGGAAAAAGGAGAGGGACACAGAGAGAGAGAGACTAAGTTCTTCGGAAGGACATGGGAAACATAGCATTATGCATACATATCTTTCTCGGGATATTGATTGTACTGTATCTACCGAGTGCTGAATACGAATAGATCAAAACTATACACAGGCCGGACACACGAGTTGAGGAACACCATCTTCCATCCGTGGTTGTCCCAAGCATTTCTGGTGGTACAGATGGCGGCATGAAAACGCCACAATCGGTCCGAGCTCCTCAGCCAGATCAGTGCCTGCACCGCCACCCTCAGATTCCAAGGGCTCCTGCGAGCTAACACCGACCGTGGCTTTCCCCTTCCCTCGAGTCTCATCGTCCTCGACTACGGATTCATTGTCCTGGGTGCGGCGTCGGCGGAGGAGCCTGCCTTCTTCTCTTTTCTGCCATTGCTCCCAAACTCTTTCGCCGACACCGGGACCCCAGATGCGTCGTCGACACACTTCGCATACCTGCCCTCGAGGCCTCCAACCGCGTTGTCGAAGACCAGCGACTTCGTCCAAGCGTACAAACACATCCTTGTCCAGCATCGAGTTCGAGAGACCCAGAAGTGACTCCTCATAGGCATAGGCCGAAAAGATGGAGCTGATGACATTCCGCAGTTCTGACAAAGACGGGCTCGCTTCGGCAGCATGCGAGAGGAATGCACGTAGAATGCGTAGGAACATCATATCTCGGCCGGAAGCACCGTCTCGCATCGACGTAGTACTGGTCAGGAGTGCAGTGAAGACCTGCTGAATAGTTGTGCGCAGGGCTTGTGTGATTTCGAGACCTGTTGGGTCTTGGTGTGTCGGTTCACTCACCGGAGCATGGATAGAGACATCGCGGGCGATCGACACCACACTCAGAATTAGTTCAAGCCAGAGGTTTTCTTGAAAAGACAGCGCACGGTTCGCACTGGCGGATCTTCTCGGTGATTTGGCAACCGCCAGTGACTTGGGTGCATTCTTCATCTGTCCCTGACACAACCAGATGCCCACGCGGGTGTACTTTTCTAGCGACTCGAGAACATTCGTGGCCGGGTGGATGACGGATGAATCATCTTCCTGGTCAACCAGATCTGACTTTAAGCTCTTCAGGGTCGAGCCCAAGAGAGCCAAGTGTCGTGTCAAACGATCCATCGCATCCTTCACCTGGCCCTGGCGAACCTGCAGGATCACAACAGCGTCGATGATGCCATTGTCCTCGATCGTTGGAAGGACCTCCGCGAGACGGATATCTCCTTCCTTTATATTCTCCACATAATCTCTCACGTGTGAAGGGTCGAATTGACATAGGAGGCGAACATAAAGCTCCATGATCTCATGGTCATAGTTCCGACGCGAGCTCAGATGTTCTTCGGGTTCCAGAAGCGTTCTCAGATACTCAAACTGTTCAGAGAGATCATCGGCCATTGTTTGCAGGAAAACGTGGTGCAGGTCCGGCGCCACCTCATCGATGGTAGAGGCACACCTTTGGACATCGATGTTGATCAGGTCAAGCGCGTGTTTCTGTATGACATCTCTGACCTCTTGACGCTGGCGTTGTGCTAGAGGTGATTCTAAGCGGAGACATTCGACAATCGAGGCAAATACGCCCACTCGGTCTTGACTGTCCACCAAGAAAGTCGAAATCATATCAGCGTATTGACGTTCTTGCTTGAAGACAGACTTGAGCACGCGGTAGAATCTGGCTTCTCGGAGTAATGGAACAAAGTCGAGGACGTTGGGTGGCTGGTACACGGAAAGGAGGTATTCGATGCTCAACTCGGCATCTTCTTGCATATCATCTTCCGGGTATTGACACAATCGAATAAAGATCTCTTGTAAGACTGTGCCCGAGAGCACCAAGTATTGAGGATATTTGGCCAGGTTGCGTGCGATGAACATGTCCAGATAAATCGTGTCATCAGAGTCGAAACCCGATGACATTACCTCCAGCAATATGCGAACGACGTATTGGCGGGTATAGGTACGAGTTGCTGCTGCTTGTTTTAGACTGAGACTATTGAGCACGTCGTCGTCACCCAGGTTGAGATAGCTGTCTTCAAACGCCTCATTCAAAGCGGCAATGAAACTTGCGGTGTCGAAATGGAGCACCCGAGACAGGTTCTCAAAAGAGACTGTGGGGTTCAAGAAGGAATTGCTCCTCCTTTGAGCCACGCCATTTGCCCCTGGACCCCCGGAAAAGAAGTAGTCGTAGACCTGACCTTTGGCAAGCACGGAGGCTTCTTCGCCTAGCATATTCCCGGTGGGATACACGCGACCTGTGAGGATGAAGGACATGTAGGGGAAGATTTTCTGGGCAATATTGTACCTGTCGACCATGTTGACAGCTTGCTGGCGCTGGCGCGGAGGGTCCTCATTGTTTGCCAGCTCGAGTAGCAGTATCAAGGGTGTCGTAAAGTCCTGGAGGGCCATTGTCCAGACGTAGATGTAAGCGTCATATAGGGCATATTGCTTGCATAGGGTTGTCACTTGATCAATATCCATTGTCGAAGTATCGAGCATGCAGATGATCTCCTCCAGCACCGATGGAGTATGTGTTTGTACAAAGTGGTTGATCAGAGTCTTCAGAGCAGGCGGAGGCACAGAGGAGATGGTTTGATCGAGGATGTATGGTTCAAGGACATCCACAAACAGATGTCCCTGCTCGTGCTCCTCATACCAAGAAAACACCTCTTCGAAAAGGAAGTCCTCGTCTTCCATGACAAGACATGCCTTGATACAAGCGTCTGCAAGCTCGGCCATCTGTGGCTTTTCGATCTGATCACTCCCAGCTTGTTGGTTCTTACCAAAGGCGTACTTCAAGGAGGCGCTCATCATCTCGACAAGCTTCTCCTTAACGACTCCTGCTCGAACATTGTCTTCCTCGGGCAGGCCGATGGTTGCCCTTTCCCCTTCGCCTTGGTAATATTTGGTAGCAAGCCGGATGGCACCGATGAAATCACCGACATTTATCATGGCTAACAATCGATCAGCCCAATTGGTAAGGACACCAGTCCAAACATCATTGAAGCCAAGCAAGAACAGCCTGCCTTTATATGCCCGGAAGCTCATGTGAAACGCATCTGCAACCACACCGTGCATGGATGTATCTTCTTCATCAAGCTGTTCAATGATGGCTCGTAGCTGCTGCGAGTAGAGATCTGCATGATAGATGTTCTTCTTCAACAGGTCAAAGGCTTCTGTTACGTGCATGGTAAGATCCTCGATGATGAGAAGCTGCTGCGTGATGGTCAAGACGGCCAGCACCGACCTATTTAACCACTGAACAGCCACAATTGCTTCGTCCGCTTGGTAGCGGCTTCGAGCTAAGAATTGCAGGTCGGGAGGTTTGTTCTTTTCGGTATCGTCATCTCCCTGAGTCCCATGAACTTCCAGGACCGTGAGGATATTAGACCAGGCATAAACAAGTTTGGTCTTTGAAGTTTCAGAGTCTTGGGACTTGAGCTTGATGGCTGGAAACCATGCCAATGCCGCGGTCATGGCACTGTGCGCTGCAACCTCTTTGGGCCGAGCAGCTTTATGTTGGGTCTGTGCAACGGGTGTAGTTGAGACAATGACAAGCAAATATGGTGTCAGCATTGCCACGAGACCCAGACTATCGGTCCTTTGCTCTATATTCCCCAATGGCAATGGTGAAAATGCCAGCACAGAGCTTTTCTTCAAGGGCTTCGATGATCGTGAGACAAGCTCGGGGTACCGCCCAAGGATTCGAGTAGTGCGGACAACGCGGCCAACTGCTCCCATTCCACGTGTTGCTAGGTGGGAGAATGCCATGCCTTTATCATCGGCGGAGACGAGCGCAGTGTGCCGGTAGCCTAGAAACCCGATGTGCAGCACGGCGCTGTCTGATATATGACCGTCACCCTTTCGAGCTTGAGGCTGAGAGGCTTCAATTGGCTGGATGTGTAAAAAAGGTCTAGAAGGTCTGGCAAGTTCCCAGGTAAAGATGTGGCCTGTTTCATGTCCAACGGCGATAGTAGTATGGTCAGCAGATATTGCAAGCGCCGTTACAGCGCCACTCTCAGCGGCTTTCGTGCCGCTTCCGATGATTGCTTTGTGGTTTTGATGGTGATCAAAGACGAGAACAATCCCCTTGGATGTCCCCAGCACCAACTGGTCTGCCACCGCCAGACAAATTGGGCTTCCAAAATTTCTCTTCCCAATCTCCGAGAATGCTTGCCCCGTGATCTTTCTGAACTTGCTCCATCTGATCACGTCCCACGGATTTATGGTGTCGTCCGGCTCGGAAGGAGTGTGCAGTCCATGACTGGCAGCAGAGGCGTGACGGGAATGGGCGTTGAGAAATGCGGGTGAGCTCGAGCGCAGAGGTGAGAGTTGCGAGCTTGAAAGCCGAGACTGAAATCGAATGTCAAAGGGACGGTGGATAGTCGAGGGGCTGCCTCTGCGGCCGGGACTGCGGACTGAGCCCGCATCACTTCGAGGGGAGGAAAGCATCGAGTCTTGTACAGAGGGTGTATCGTCGGGAATCGAAGCCGAGTCGTCAATGCTCAGGAGATTCCTCGCCTCATCAAAGGGAGGGATATTGTCCGTCCCATTTGTTCCCGGCCCATCTGAGGCACTCTCTCCGTCGATTTGACCACTTTCTCCATTCTCATCCTCCAGCACTGCATCAAGTGTCTCAGACGCGCCCTCCGCCGGCTCGTGTGGTTCGGCCGGGACTATGTCTGGCACATCATGGTCGTCTTGCGCTCCTGACTCTTGACCATTCGCATCCTCAGGCACACCATGATCCTCGTCGCGCAGGAAGCTCTCGCCCTCATTCAGGGTCGAGTTCATCGGCGTATCGTTGACACAATCATAGCTTCGTGGGCATCGTCACCACTGGACCGAGTCTCCTCCAATCTTTTTTTCCCACTGTCGAAGCACAGGATATTCGGCAGGCAGAAACGAAGCGACGGTTGCGACTCTCAATGGTGATGGAATAGTCGGATCAAGGGTATTCTCTACAAGAGAGAAGGGAGATTAGAAAAGTGGCTACAGCAGACCATAAAGCAGACGAAAGCAGACGAAGAGCAAAAGGATCGAAACACTGCCGACGAGACGAGTGCTATACCGTGGACGAGTTGGATGGATTACAGCAACCACAATGTGTTACGACGCTTGGAGACACGACCATGTGGATGGGGAATGATTCGCGTTTTTGGGTCAATTGCTGCGCCGTACATGTTTATTACGGAGAATCATAGAGCGGGGAAAATGCGCCGAAGCCTTGGGCTGCCAGGCTGCATCCACAAGTCATTGCCGCAGGATGCACTTGTATAGGTACCTGCACTCGTACTTGTAGTGATCTACCAGTATACCTACATAGCTCTCCGTGTTGGTCCAGGCGGCATACCCTTTCATCAGCAGCATATCCGATTCCTGCCGACAAATAAGCGAAGGAGGGTGGTGGTCGCCATGGACTCGGCGAAAAGGCCCTTCACAACGAGGAATTTTCACCAACCCGCAGCCTAGCGTTCGCCGACTCCGCAAACTTCCTCGGCATCTTTCTGTGAATTTCCAGCCTCTCCAGCGGCGGCGAATTTCATATGTCAGCCCCAGAAAATCCCACCCGCTACCGCGACCTCCATCATCCATCATCTCGTCACCCTCGGCCGTAACCACCACATCTCTACATCGCCTCATCCCCCGTCGACAAACCCTTTTCTACCATCCTATCCTCACACCACGACCACCGCCGACATAAAAAAGCCCTGCAAGAAATGACGAGATAACAGAAGAATGACGACAGTTTCGCCGCCCAAACCCTGGGAGCGTGCTGGATCAACCGGTAAATAGTTTTCCAAGTGCTTTCAAGAGAGTCTCGATCCTGACGAAGCCTTTGCAGCTCCCTCTGGAACAAGTACACCTGTAACCTCTACCGCTATGACCGCGGCTTTACCAATGGACTCGTCCGCCACAGATTCCGGCGCCCCAGCGCTGCCCGACCGACCCTCGACATTAAACAACGTTGTCAATCAGAATGCATCCAACTTTACAAACCAGAACCGCTTTGGAATGAATAACACACCTTATTCGGGACCCTATTCCTCATATTCGTCCCCTTACTCGAGGTTTGGTGGTGGCATGTATGGTGGAGGCATGTACGGAGGCGGCTATGGGTACGGCAGTAGCATGTACGGCAGCGGCATGTATGGAGGATATGGAAACTACCCAGGGATGCCAGGCGACCCCAATAACCAAAGTCTGACCCAGACGTGGAACAACAGCACAGCCGCAACTTTTCAGATCATGGAAAGTATTGTCGGCGCGTTTGGTGGATTTGCGCAAATGCTGGAGAGCTCATATATGACGACGCGTTCTTCATTTTTCGGTAAGTTCTTTACCCACCACAACATGCTCAAGACTGACAGCTCTGGACAGCAATGGTCTCTATGGCCGAACAGTTGGGAAATTTACGCCAAACCCTTGGGTCAGTTCTCGGGATCTTCACGCTCATGCGATGGATTCGGACCCTAGTAGCAAAACTTACTGGTCGGCCACCACCTGCCGATGCGACAGCCCTCACACCTGCGGCCTTCTCATCCTTTCTCAATGGTGGTCACAGTTCTACCCCTGCAACACTACCTGACGGTTCACCTGCCCCAGCCCGCCCGTCAAGGAAACCGTTTATAATGTTCGCCATTGCGGTCTTCGGCCTGCCCTACCTCATGAGCAAGTTGATCCGCGCCATGGCCCGCTCTCAGGAAGAGGAAATGCGTCGGCACCAGGAAACGGCGATGCCATACACCGTGGGTGCGAATGGAGAACAAATCCCCATCGACCCCAAGAAACTCGATTTCTGCAGAGTGTTGTATGACTACACCCCCACTCCACAGTCTGGTGGAATGGACCTCGAAGCAAAGAAAGGCGACTTTGTTGCAGTGCTCTCCAAGACGGATCCCATGGGCAACGCGAGCGAGTGGTGGAGGTGTCGCGCGCGAGACGGCAAGATGGGATATCTCCCGTCTCCCTACCTCGAACCGATTCAAAGACCCATGCCAAAGGCCACGCCACAAATCACAGAAGGAAAGGCCACTCCGCCGATGATGGAATCGGACGAGATGATGGCTTCACAGAAACCCAAACTTCTCCGGAACACAGGCGAAGTAGAGCCTGAGTCTCAGGCAGTGATGGACGCGCTAGGCGAGCGAGACAAGGAGTATAAGGCGCGGTACAACGCTCTATATGCGCCAGCGACGATGAAAAAGCCGACTGTCGATATCAAAGGGCCACACATGGACAGCAAACCCGGCGATATCACCCCAGAAAGTTTCCAGAAGAGCGCCTTTTATTCTTGATGTAAGCCATTATATTGGAGCGGGCGACACCAAAAAAAGGGGGAGCGGACTGAGGAGGCGGGCGAAACAGGTGTTTTGTTTCGAGGGAGCCAATACAAAAACCGATATCCTTTGAAGTTGCTCAGCAGGGAATTATTCATATAATTGGAAGAAAGGGACATGATTGTCCTTGTTCGGGTTATACTTGCTCTGTTCTCCGTCCCCTTGTTCCGCACCCGATGTACTTCGTACTTTGTACACTTTTTTCAATCTTTGTCAGGTTTTCCCATATTCCCATTAAGCCCTGGTGCTATTAGGTGTGATGGCTTGTTTTGTCTACACGTGTTGTCTGTAGAGAGAGAGAGAGAGAGAGAGAGAGAGAGAGAGAGAGAGAGAGATGTGTATGGATCTGGCAGTTATGTGTGTATGTGTGTATGTATGTATATATGTTTGTAGCTAGGTATGTAGCTAACTAGCTAATGACTTGATAGCAGACCATACTAGATAGAGCAGACAGGACACAAAAGAGCACACCTAGGCATCAAGGTATCTAGATATCTAGATATCCAAGAAGAAAAAAGTATCAAATCAATCACACTACACTATCAACGCACGCGCGCGGAGACAGACTTAGGTAGGTAGGTAGGTATGTAAACTTGGTCAACTCAGTCAAGTAATATAATATAAGGAATAAATAAATACCCCTAGAGAGAAAATAATAGCTAGCTTTTTGAGCACTGCCACATCACATCCGACAGACAGACAGAAACACAGATAGATAGATCAGTCACAAGTCACAAGTCACCCTCGACTTGGAAAAATCCCCCCCCCCCTCCCCTTTACCCTTACCCTGTCCTCTCAAGGATCGGGGATCGAGGAGTACTATCCCAAAAGAACCTGGATACAGGAGGTGTTCGAGCCTAGCAGGCTCAAAGCAAAATACACAAAAGCAAACAAGCAACAGAACTTTTTGGGGTGAGCAAAATCTCACAAAAGTGCAGGTAAGAAGCAAGCAAGAAAGAAGCAACAATGGCAACAGCGTCAAAGGCACGGGCAGGAAGAAGCTGACTGCCTGACGGACGGACGGACGGGCTGACACAGTAGCAAAGCAATACAACAAACAGAACCCCATGAAGTGAATCCACAGACAACACAGGACAGCCCTCATGATCCCGTCGAGTGTCAATGTTCCTTGCAAGGTGAAGGTGATGTTCCTGCGCGGTGTGTTTGGACACAATCTCGCTCCTCTCCTTGCTTGTCGAGATAGTTGAACAAGTTCCACGCTTATCAATGCCGAAATCAGGAGGTGTTCTGATCTTGCCAAAGGCGTAGACGAGACTAGAGCTCCAGGAAATTCAGAATCGGCCTCGATGGCGCATACCTCTCGTCTGCTAGCATAGTTAGGCCAACGTTGGTACTCCTACTGGGAATTCATCATAAGAAGGTGACATATGGACGTACCTTTGGCCCGACTTCGTCGTCGTCGTCAACATCGTCATCATCCTCGTCCTCCTCTTCCCCCTCGTCTTCTTCCTCAGCTACCAGCGCAACGCCCTCTTCACTCCCCTCACTATCGTCACTGCTGTCATCACTATCATCTGCGGATTTCTCGTCCCAGCTACCTCGTCGAGCCGAAGAACATCTCGCGCCATTAACGACAAGTGGACCTGTTGGAGATGTCGAGCCACTGCTATGTCCTGATCTTTTCCTTGCAGCTCGGAATGGTTCTCTCGCAGTCTCCTTCGAGGGCACAGCGGTGTGTCGTTTGGTCTTTGAACTGGTGGTCTTGGACGAAACCCCGCTCTTCTTCTGCGTCGAGGAACCACTCCCACCCTGTGTCTCCTGCCACCGTCTTCTTGATGAGCCGGAGCCGGAGCTTGAGCTCCCAGCTGCTGCGGTCAATATAGGTTCGTCTTTCTCCTGTTTGACACTGATCTTGCGATTAGAGAGGTATCTGCCGTCAAGGTCACGCACGGCACTAAGGGCTTCGGTTGGAGTTTTGTATCGTGCCCGTGCGGTGCCCTTGTTCTTACCGGGATTGCGGCTATCAGGGTGGATCTCAAGATAGAAAACGTTGCCGTAGCGTCTGAGAAGGTCACGCAGTTCACTCTCGGACTGGTAGTATGGCAACCCGGAGATAAATATTTTGCTGCCGTCATTGCCACGACGGACAAGGGGAGGGGCAGACGGTGGCGAGGGAGGCCGTGCAGAGTCACCATTGAAGCGAGTGCTGTAGGACACTGGTGGAGCCATGGTGCTTGGATGGGTTGAATGTGGTAGATATGAAGGTCGAGGCGGACAGACTCCAGATGGGTATGCTGTCGTAGCTGGAGCCATAGTAGAAGCGAGTGAAGGCACCGCTGGTTGAGCAGCCCAAGTCGCCATTGTTGTGTACGGTGTTGGGTAGCTTACGGATGCCAGTTGATGAGCAGAGACTGTATAGAGAGGGTTTCTTCCAAAAGGTTAGATAGAAATAGCAAGTTGACCCGAGAGACATACGCAGAGGGCCGTGTCGTCGTAGCAGGTCCTTGTAGGTTCGGAAGATACAACCCTGTTGGTCTTTCCGACGTGATGATCCCGTTACTTTCTTTTGGTCCTTGTATCTTTCTCAAACTCCCGTCCTTCTCTTGGGCAACCAGTTTGACACGCACACGTTGGCCATTCCAGCCTTGCTTGCAGAGATTCTCTATATCTTGTGAGCGCGTGCACGGCAATTGTGGGAATTGGACATACCATAGACTTTGACGGCATCAGCCTTACCCTTGATGGTGCAATGTCCCAACTGGGTCCCATCACCCGCGCTGAACACTTCAGCTTTCAAGCTCTGTTCACCTCCAAGACTCCTCGTCATGTCCTTGAGCTCTTGCCATCGACAGTGGCGTGGAATCTAAGATATTCAGGTGAGCCTTGGAGATGCATCGAAGGGGTCTTAGCAACATCGCTTTGACCTACATCTTGAATAAGGATGATATAATGCTGCTCGTCTTTGCTCGAATGTCGAGGTCGAGGACGTTCCTGTCTCTGAGGCATGTCTCAGGAGTGCTAGAACGACTGATAGCGTCAATGCTTCAAGGCAAACCCTGGATTTCCGTCAAAGCTTTTAGTTGTTATTTGTCTTTCATCCACAATATGACTCGAACGCGGCCAGTAGATTTGACACTCTTGCTGGCAAACGCCTTCACCGCAGTTGTGGGGGAACAAGAGGTGGAGGTCAACCTTTATAGATTCCGACTGATACATATGGAACAGGTTGGTAGTGGAGCTCTAGCCACTTCCCCCTCAGATAACGCAGGAGTGTCGCTTGCTTTAGGAAGAGGAAGAGGCTGTCAAGCAGTAACAAGGTAGCCCTAGCGAGGACAAGGGTCGGGAGATGGAATCATGGATCTTCTCTCCGGCTAGGTGGCTCAGCAACAAAATACGAGCCCAGATGTCAAGCGGGAAAGACTCGTGAATTCCCTTGGCTGGGGCTTCTGGCACAGAACAGATATTTTGTTTTTGAGAAGAAAACCAACCTTTGAGAGATTCTGAGGACTGATTTATAGACTTGACCTACCCACGCCTTTGCGACCACGATACACAATGGCTTGACTTGACTCTCCAATGCAGTACATCTCTTGTTGAGGATGTCGCGGCCACGACTTGATTCAGGTTGGCCGCGGTGGAGAAAGATGGCATCGAAGCTCTGGTTCGATGCCAATGGGAGGTCCAAAAACAACGACTGCGTTGAGGCTCGCAGGTGACCTCCATCGGAAGAAATCTGATATCAGATCACAAGTGGCTTGCATATTAGACGATGGCTTGCTCTCTCCCTCTTGGAGCAAGCCGACCACCAAGCAGTCATGCCAACTGACCAAGTCTCCCACGATAGTGAGTGAAAGGCGCGCTATATCGGACACGGAGATTCCGGGATATCCTTGTCTGACGCTTGACCAGAATACAGGTAGGAGTTTGTCTGCAAGCCACTTCGCGAGGGGCCGATGGCGTCCAATCGAAGTCGCTACAGTAATAGCAGAACGTCAGTGAACCCAGGAAACTCATTCCGGACGAGATGTCTCGCGGAGGAAGGCCTTGACAGGCATGTGCATGGAGAATGGACCCTTGAATCTGTCAACGACAATTGTCGTTATCGGCAAGAGTGCCCCCCGTCCCCGTATTGTGTGCAAAAGAGGCTGGTTGGAGCAATTCCTAAGCAGGGCCTAACGTAAAAGAAAGAGGGCTTGCTGCAAGTCAAGACAAGATTATTTGGTTCGACTGGGTCCGGAGGCTCTTGTGAGCTTATAAGAGGCAATCGGACCCAAACGCTAAGGATCGATTCGGTCAGTGAACTGGAGAAAGGCTGGTGACAAGGGCAGCATGGCCGTGTTCCCAATCTGAAGATATGTTTGCGAAGCATCCGAGTTTTAACCCCTGCTGGGATGATCGTACACCAACCTCGGGTCAGGCAATTTCTCACGATCTCAAGAGAAAAGACAGTCCAAGTGTCCAACGTGTTTGCTTCATCACCGTTGAGGCGCCTCTTTAGAGAGCGCACTAGAAACAAAGAATGCTCCGGAAGGCTTCTGGAGGGGAGGACAGTGTAATTGCCACACACCTATTAGCCCCTTGGAGTTCAATACGCTCTCGCGTAGCTGTGCATTGGTGGCTTGCCAGGGTCAGCTGGAACGCCAGAAATCTCGGTCCTCGATTCCCTGTGATGCATGTAGGAGACGCCCAAAGGGATCAAGTTCGGCCGTTTCCAAGGACCATGTTGCTGTCAAGTCGCAAGTAGGAAGGTCAGGGAGACGGAAGACACCATGTTCGTAACTTCATGCCATCATCGCACATCTAGTGGCTGCGGGCGAACCAGTTTTGACAACTTAGCTGCACGGGTTTGACGCGAGTTGTAGTGTTGCCCATTTTCCCTCCTTGTCCAAGCAAACCGAATTTCTAGTTTATAGCGGCCTCCTCCTGACATCTTGGAGGGCGTCGCGCCCCATTTCCCACTTGGTGGTACAGCAGGCCCGCAGGATCTCTGAACTCTGGAATCCGCTCTGAAGCGAGGGACAAATTCGGTGCATTTGTGTGCGACTAGGATCTGAGCCGGAGATGCAGAGTTTGGAGAGCTGATCTCATCGAGATCTCGACCGTTGAACGAAGAAATGTCATCCGTTTCATTGGAGGCTCGACTTAGCTGCTTGTGCGACTTTCCCGCTCACGGGTCACCCACGGGTGGCGATGAAAATGCGTCAAAGAGGGTGGACTGAAGGCTTGCTCGACTGGAGAAGCCAAGCATCGATCATGTCGGTCACCGATCAGCATCAGTTGAGGTCGAGGTGTTTCATTCGTCCATGTGTCGTCGCTCTTGCATTTTGGAAACTGGATCTTGGAATAATTGACCAGTCAGCATGTCAAAGAGACATACTCCCGCATCAAGCCGTCGCCCTTCCAAGCAGGTTTGCTTGCGGATTGTGGGCGATAGTGCGTGACGCAGACCACGCTCATCTCCCGTGGCGAGGACCGACCATAGAGACTATCACAACGTCTTTGAGCCATTCTTTAATACTGCCTAAATACTGATGTAATGTGGTGTAGAGTCACGCCGAAAACAGCACCAAGATGCTAGCAAACGAGCCAGTGAGATGAGGGATACATGTATGCAAAACCAAAGAAACGCTTCCAACGCTCACATTCCAACGCCCGGATCTCAAATGCACCAGTTGGACTTCCGCAGTGGAATTTCCATCCTCAGGTCCCAGAAATGTGGCAAAGATAATATGCACCTTGTGCACCCGTGGTCTTGTCATCACACCAGATCGGAACCAGTGGCAGCAGCCTCTAGCCTTCTGTGAAAACTGGTACCCTTTCAAAGCCGTCCACCGGGGTTTGTTCGCTGCAAAAAGTCCAATAATATTGCAGCTTTTGATCCATTCTCACGGAATTGACTCTGTTGTACCGTTGGGAGGTCATCCTGCATAGAAGATCCCACGACAGGTCCCGAATATCCATTGCCCTGAGTCGTGTCCAATAGGGCAAATTCTGCATTTGCTCCGTGTGTTGTACTTGTTGTAGTACGAGATGTCCTTTGTTCCCAGGCGTCTTGCTCTCTCCACCTCACTCGCTGGTCGTATGTCTCAATTGTATTCAATCTGTTTGTTCCAAGTGCTCCAGAGTGGAAATTTAGGAGGAATTGCAATCGGAGGAAGGATTGAAAGGAGGGGTTTGGAAAAGGATGGCCCCGGAGAGAATAAATCAATTCATTTGACAAAGCCAACCACGTTGGCACATCTTTGGCAGTAATATGAGTTCATGCCGAATCGGACTGCGCCACTGTTCTGAGCAGGAAGCGAGGTATCAATACTCAGGGATCGTTGACATCGAGAGCAGCGAACAATGTCTAAGGAGGACTTGGGTGAGCCGGAAGCGCTCGATGACAGGGTGTTGATGCTGTCGTCGCTTTTATTGGACTTGGGGCCGATTTTGGTGGCGTTGGAGCCATTGGCTGCCAATGTCTGAAGCTGCAAGAGGGAAGAAGGTGTCGACGACGCCATTTCTGAGAATATGAAAGGTGCTCGCAGGTCGCAATTAGTATATGAATAAATGAAGGGTGCCTCAGCGAAATCGTCCCCTTTTCAAATGGTAACGGTATGGCAGAAATCAAGGGGGAAGGGCGGCAATAGATCAGGAATACTGGTCGAGAGCGGATAATAAGATTAGGTGGAAAGTGCAGAATTCAGCGCAAGAGATCGGGGATGGCAACGGCTTGTGATATGGACATGGACGGTTCTCGTGAGGGAAGCCTTGGATGGAAGGCGATGAAACGCGACCAGGGGTGGGATGGGAATTACTAGTGCAGGTCGAAACTGGATATCGACGGGATCGAGGACAAATGAGGGCCGAGGACGATGGTTAGGGAGGCACACAAGAGTTGAAATCTTCGATGGCATGGGAATCAAAGATGGCATTCTTCCAATGAGTGGAATGTGAGATGGTCGATGACCACCAGCGACCTCGATCGCAGGAAACCAAATCGACTTTACGCGCGGCGGCACGAGAACTTTAGCACTGGCTAGGAATTCCAGGCCCCCTTTCACGCCGAAGACGCCTCTTCCACCCGGGAACTGTTGGGCCTTTTCCGGGCTGTTGATCCCCAATCACGGCTTGCCCTGGGCTTGAAGAGGAGCCGACGGTACCTATTCCGAACTGGTTTTCTTCTCTGGCGGGCTTATGTTCCGGGCACTGTGGGGTGTCTTATTGGTGAGCGCCACAGTTGGAGGGGTAGCCCGGGGGACCGGCCACGCCTGATATTCTCACTAACAGCCTTTCTTCATCATCTCCGATCTGTCACTTTTAGGTTGCTGGGCCGATAGAACCGAAGCGTTTGTACTTGTTTGTACGTCCTTGACAACGGGTGCGAGTTGCAGGAGATCGATCTGTTTTCGGAGAGGGCAATATGCCACAGTGCCACTCCGTCCAGCCCTACCCCTTGCTGGCCACCTGTGCAGGTCAACGCGGGCTTTTCTGGAGACTGAGGGTACCAGGAAATCCCGGAACCATGATGGTCCACAATGGCCGTCGGCTCAAGTGATCCGTCAACCGCCAGAGTACCGAGTACACATGATCGTACACATGATCAGACTTGAGGCACAAATGGATAAAGTCCCTCGTACTTGGGATATGAGGCATTCTCAGGGGTAGTCAAGACTGACCCGGATATCACCTCACGGCGAGAGAAATAACTCACCAGAAATGTATAATCATGAGCCAAGCGAGATGTTGATGAGCGTGCTGCCACTACCATTTGCAGCTGAAGATTGTCGTTTCCCGTCCCACGAGGCAAGGATATCTTCTCACCGGATATCCAGTTCCGCGCCATATGAAAGGGGCATTTATTCACTCAATGTCACAAGACAAGTACCAAGCAGGCCTTCATCTGCAAATGCTCCGGTCCTCATCTGGTTTGGGTACCTAGCACTGCTAGGTAGCAGGTGGGTTGCAGGCCACCCACAGGCTGTACAAGCAATGGCTTAGTCACTCACCTTGAGTAAAGTCAGCACTCATCAGCAATCCGAGCTTATCGGTCCATCTGCAATAGTCGCTCAATGTTTACTGTCTGACAATAATGGAAGTGTAGCGTTTTCCACTCAGCAGCACCAATCAACCCCTCTGCTTTTCTGCTGTCAGACAAGTTTCCATGACGTCAGGTTTTGGGAAACAATCTTGTGCAACCAAGATCAAATTCGACCCACGTTTTTGGATCGTCAACTGCGAAGTTTTGCGACAAGACGGTATACTTCACTCCCTGATACTGCGTCCACGGTGAAGATATACCACTTAATCCAAGTGATCTTTGTCCTCACTTCACTCTCCCTTTTGCTCATCACACTCCTTCCTCAAAGAACCTCGATCTCATTCGCAATTGGCCTCATTCGAAGCACATCACTAAATTCGCACACAAAGATAGTCCCCCCACCTCAGATTCGCTATTCAGATCCTCCAATACAACTCGATCTCGTGTATTGCAGGTGCACATCCTCAGGTGATCTTTACTCTTCATCCACTCCAAAATCCCACCCGGAAGAATACCGTTGGTTGGAAGACGAATTTGGTTCATCGCAGTACCGAGGGACAAACTGCGCGGTTGCGACTTGCGGGAGGCAGCCCCGCCACCACCAGAAAAGAAAGAAAAATAACAATGGGCAAACAACCCAACCTCTTTAGCTACCCCACAGTCGACGAGGTCGCTGCGCATCTGCGCGTTTATATCCTCTCCTGCCAAAAGACGGCACTTCACCGACACGATTGCTTCAAAGTCGCTGTTTCAGGCGGCAGTCTTCCCGCAACCCTTGCAAAGGCGCTCCTTACGCCAGGTCACCAAGAAGACCCCGCACTCGGGCCACAATTTTCGAAATGGCAAATCTTCTTCGCAGACGAACGAGCCGTACCTTTCGATGACAAGGAGAGTAATTACGGGTTACTGAAGAAAGAACTTCTCGATAAAATCCCGTCCGAGCAAGGGACTCCCGCTGTCCATCCTATCGATGTGACGCAGCTCGGCAACACCCAGGAGCTGGCGGACCGGTACCAAGAAGTCCTCATGTCAACATTTGCCAGCAAGGATTCTGTGAAAGTGCCCATCTTTGATCTAATCCTCTTGGGTTGTGGACCGGACGGCCACACATGTAGTTTGTTTCCCGGCCACGAACTGCTGCGAGAAGCAGACGCTTGGGTGGCTGCGATCGAAGACAGCCCGAAACCGCCACCAAAAAGGATCACCTTGACTTTGCCCGTGTTGACACATGCTCACAAGATTGCGTTTGTCGCCACTGGAGGTGAGAAGAAAGGAATTTTGAAGAAGATCCTAGAAGCGGACGATGAGGGAAGAAGCCTACCTTGTGGGCTGGTCAATGAAGGCGGCGGGGAGAAGGTCAGCTGGTTCACAGATGATGCAGCGGTGGAAGGAGTGGCATTCCCTAGGAGGGGCAGCCTGTGAAGAGCAGACCTTGAATGGGCGTGGAAGGAGTGCCACGGCGAATGCACACCTACTTGTTGGCGGACAAGGTTGAGACAGTCTTCCCAGATTGGGACTCTGTTGAGAGAATGTCGCGGCCCTTGCGGTATGGATGGCTTTTGAGCAGTCACCTATATCCCGAGTTCTCCATTGCCTCGAGCCTGGCTTAAAAGCTCCGGGTCGGAACCCTTGGGGAATGAAGGGTCCGTAAGGGCTGGTGTCACGATTTCTTTTGTGTTTATTCGATTCTTATATTAGATGTACCTTGGCTGCATGCGTCCCCCGGAAGTTGATTGAGCCAACGTACTTGTTATAGAGAACAAACTTTTCAAAACGCTCGAAAGAAGTATCAGAGACACGACCCAGGATCGGCGAGCTGGCTCCATGATCATCATCCTCACATGTGGGCCAACTGGTTGAGTCCAGGATTTGACTTTGAGATCTCCTCGTTGAGGCAGAGCTGTCGACGGCCCCCCTTTGGCATCGGGTTTGACAACTGGGTCGCCTGTAAGAGCGCCTACAAGTGAATTCTGGGGGCTCGGGTACCCGGGTGGGCAACGGATCCCAATGGAGTACCCCGCATTCTTGCAGGTTGGGTGCCTAAGCAATCCTCCAGCCCTCCGCAGCTCCCTTTTACTTGCATACCTAGGGAGTGTCTAGGTGGGCAGTAGGTCAATCCATCATGCCTTCTCACCTGGCTTAGACCAGTCGACGTATTACCTGACATTGACCAGTTGATCGGACCTCTGGTCCCCTTTTTTCACATGCACCATCTGCAACATCACCATTCACCACCCTTCCCCCTCTCAACGAGTTCCCCCTTCAAATGCGATTTCTGGCAAACTGCATATGCTGACGAAATATTTGCCCCATGGAGCTCGGCGTATCTACATACATACGTACGCCTACACCAGGCCCTCCCCAACACCAAGTATTTGACATACCCCTCCTGCATCTCGGATGAGTTCATCCCTTTACGGACCCTGTCGCAGCAAATTGACGAAGGATTGATTCTCCGGCCTGGTGAGCTTCATCCTGTAGTCGTTCATAACAACATATCGAAACCCACGACTCCCCACAACAAGTTTTCTTCACAGATATCTAGGATCAGTAATCACACCGGCACGTAGCTTTGCAATCTGACCCGCCAAGTCGCTGGTAATGGTAGTCGGCTCAACTGGACTCGCGCGTAAAAGAGATGCGGGCGCGGATTCATAGTGGATAGAACACCAAAGCCGAGGTTTGGGTGCTTGGATGCTTACATGCTGGTGGACAACCGATACTCCCCTCTCTTCTGTACTTGTAGAGAGGATAGGGCATGAATACTACTGGAATTGATCCGGCGGAGGAGAAGGTGTGTCTGTCTAGTGGTTGATACTGCTAGGACGCATTCAATCCACATTCCAACATACATAGGTACAATTCCTATACTCTATATATATATACGTCAATCCTTCCAACGAGGCCATCACTACATTCATCCCCAGCTTACGCTAAATAAAAACGACGACGACCAACAGAAAGGGGCCAGGAAACAATGTCTTCCTCCTCCATCACATCCCACACATTCACCTCCCCCGCCACCGCTAAACCATACACCTATCTCACCGCTGGTCCCTCCAATGGGCCCCTTGTGGTCTTCCTCCACGGCTGGCCAGGGATTGCCTTGACATGGAAACCCCAGCTGCTGTCTCTGTCGAGCCTGGGCTTCTATTGCATCGCCCCAGACATGCCTGGGTATGGGGGCACCTGGACGAGCGACAACCCGAGCGACTTTGCGCTGGAGAAGATCGTGCCGGACCTGCTGGAGCTGCTGAAGCACCTGGGCGGTAAGAAAGCCCTCTGGGTCGGCCACGACTGGGGCTGTGGACCGCTGTACGCCCTGGCGAGCCACCACCCAGAGGTGTGCCGCGCGATCGTGGGCATCTCGGTGCCATACCGCACGCTGGAGCTGGGGCTTCCGGGGCTGCTCGACCTGATCGACCGCGACGTGTACCCGGAGAGCGAGTTCCCCTACGGCCAGTGGGACTACCAGGTCTT